CCATCTCCTGCATCTTGCGGTTGGTACGGAGTGGTATGCCTATGCTTTACCGTCTTTTTTCTAGGAGTGTCGTGGAAAGACCCCTGTTCCGATGGAGTCTCGGTATCAGCCCGCCCTGAATACCGAGGGCTAGATGGGGCAATGGCCAGGCTGGCGGGTGGCGCAGCCTCAAATCAGCCTGAGTTCGGAGATATGCACATAATATCCTGAGTCGTCTGGCCTGGAGGAATGTGCTTCTCAGTACAGTATCAGAAAGTTCGATTCCTTCTCTCGAAGACTCTTCGAACAATATCGAAGGAGCAGGAGGAGGCAAAGCGGGGAGCTTAGATGGCTTCTTCAGCTTTTTAGGTTTGTCATTGTTTTTCTTTTTTGTAGGGATGGCGGGACGAGAAGGCGCCTTGGCTTTAGGCGGTTTAGAGACTTCCTTGGACTTCACAGGTAAGGAGATGGTGAGAGCCGCCTGTTCAGCAGGGGAAGTTGCCTGTTTAGAGACCTCCGAACATGGAGGGATTGGTGCAGGGAGGGAAGAAGCCTCCATTGTGAGAAGAAAAGTCTTTTCGTAGAGGAAAGAACGAAGTCGTTGGCGCCTGAGCTTAATGGCTTGTTTAGAAAACCCCCTGCAGGCAATGCAAGTCTGATTGAGGTGCGATTCACCCAAACAAAACAAGCACTTATCGTGGCCGTCTGACAAAGGAATTTTGCGGGAGCAGACAGCACACTGCTTGAAGCCCCGAGGGGCCATAAAACAAAAGAAGAATCTGTTGGGGGGGGGGGAACCACGACAGAACTGCAAATAAGCAGAAAGTCAGGTTCTGTTGAATAAACAATAAAGTAAAGGGAGTACAAAAAAGCTAGCTAAGCTAGAGTACTTAACAAGATATTCACTCTGCTCTTCCTAACGTCCTACTGGAACGGCGGAAAAAGAGGAACTGAAAGGAAGGTTGAGGGGGCGGAGCCTATACGATGCCGGGGGGAGGGGAACTAAAGTGTTTCTTTTTCAAACCTCTAGAATCATCCGGACGTCCTGCGCAGGTGCAGGATTAACCCATTTGTGTGCATTCACAGAGACTGCTATGAAGAAGCATAATACACTGTGCACATGTACAGTAAGAAACCTAAAAATACAGTGATTTAATAAAATTCTGAGTAAAAAAAAAGGAAAAAAGGTCAGTGCTGATCATGCTAAAAAGGGAAGCTTTAGGTGTGCATGTGAACGCAAGGATCACCCCAAATGATGTATCATACCTGTGATCAATCCTTGCATGTGAACACAAGGATCACCCCAAATGATGTATCATACCACAAGGCAAGCCTGTTTAGCATGATCTAGACCAGTGATGGCGAACCTATGGCATGTGTGCCACAGCTGGTACGGAGAGCCCTTTCTATCGGCATGCAAGCCATAAGTAGCCAGATCACTACTCCCCCCCGGTAGCCAAAACCGAGCAGGCAGCTGCAACCAAGGTGCCTGGACAAGCGGTGGGTCAGGATCTGGAGCAGCTGGTGCTGGCGGCATATCCGGAGTGGAGTCTTGAGGCACCTCCATGCACTTCTGGTGCTGTCACCACTGCTGCCATGGAACACCACTCCATGTCCCCCCCCAGTTTGGGCATGCAAGCCCAAAAAGGCTTGCTACCACTGATCTAGACTGATCCAGACCAAGATAATTTAGCCACCCGTGCTCATGCATAAAGAACTATTATAGCCACAGGATGCTGTGCTGAGAGCAGGTGCAAAGACTTGTGTGCACTTTGACAGAATGGAGAAGGGATTTGAGTCTTTCAAGCTCTGACAGCACCCAACTTAGCTCTTCTTTTACACTGGAATCAGAAATGCAACTGAAGTCCTGAGCCTATGTCTGCAAACAGTAATGGTTTGACAGCCAGTGTGGTATAGTGGTTAAAGAGCTGAATCAGGACTTCGGAAACCAGAGTCCAAATCCCATTCAGCTATAAAAATCATAGGAAAAAAGCTGGCAGGGGGAAAAATTGATCCATTTGAAATGTGGTGCTGGAGGAGAGCTTTGTAGATACCCTGTACTTCCAGAAAGACAAACAAGTGGGTCCTAGATCAAATCAAGCCTGAACCATCTCTGGAAGCAAAATCACTGAAACTGAGGTTGTCCTACTCTGGGCACATTATAAGAAAGCATAAAGGAAAAAAGACAATAATGGGAAAATTTGAGGACAGCAGGAAAAGACCAAATACGAGATGGACTGACTCCATAAAGGAAACCACAGAGTTGTGGTCTTGAGTTTGCAAGAGCTGAGCAGGGCTGAAGACAGGTTATTTTGGAGACTGCTCATTCATAGGGTTGTCATAAGTCAAGAGCAACGTGATGGCACATAACAACAACAACAAAAATCACTGGGGGACCTTCGACCTGTCACTCTCAGCGCAATCTCCCTTACAGGACTGTTGTGAGGATAAAGTACGGAGAAGGCAAACCACATACACCAACCATCAGCTCATTGGAGGAAAAGCAAGATATCAATGCAATAAACACATAAAGGTCCTGAAGAGCCTCAAATGATCTCTACAGCAGAGATTTCTTTCCAGTAGCTAGAACTAACAGCAAAAATGTCCTTCATGAACAGGGTTATCCATGTAATATCTAGGACTTGACTGTACCATTAGGCATGGTGAGTTGGGCTGCCTTTCCAGACACCCTAGGAATGGCAGCTTGGACTATAGTTGCTAAGTTACTATTTTGATTTTATTGCATATGAGAAACACTCTGAAAGCATGGCTTTTTGAAAGCATTTCTGTAAATGCCTGTATGTGCAGGAGGACAACCCTACACTGTGATACTTACCTTTGCTAAATCTTCTGGAATGTTTTGATCTGGACGGAGGTTACAGGCTTGTTTAGCTTTAACCAGTAAATCTTTACACTTCTGCAAAAGGGTCTGTTTCTTTTTTTCCAACTCTGAAAACTGTTGCTATAATAAACAGAATTGAAGAAAGCAGAATGCAGTATTATTGCTATTGTTGTTAAGAACATATCAGTAATTTCGAGCAAGAACAGAAAAAGGTTTATCCATGCAAGGCCTTCAGAACTTGTGTTTTGCCACAAGAACCTGACATCCATCCTCTGTTTGCCAAAGAGAAGCTCAACAAATCTCCTTTTTTCACCAATTGTCTGAGACTGCAGCACCTGGAGGGCAAATTATATGCTGTAAAACTGAGTTAGGATATGCAGTGGCTGAATTCCTGTTAAGCAAACACAAACAGTCTTTCAGATGTGAACTGCTTTAAATTAACAAATCTCTGTAGACATTACCTGCTGCATCCTGATTTGTGCAACTCAGGATGCAAGAGATAATATCTACAGAGCATGGTTCCCAACCTTGGGTCCCCAGATGTTCTGCAGATGCCTCCTCCATGAGCTGTGCTAGCTAGGATTTCTGCGAGGTGTGGTCCAAGAACATCTAGGATCCAAGATTAGGAGCTGCTGCTATATAGAGTTGTTAACTTACAGCAATCCACATCTAAATGTTATGTTGTTTGCATAACTATGCGACAGGATTTCAGCCATAAACAGTATCAAGTCCACTGCAGCTGAATCTGAAGGTGACAGAAGTAGTCTATATTATGGGCAAAGAGACTGTGATTCATGAGCTCTTGGATACTAGACTAAGGAACACACAAGAAATATGTAATAGAAAACAAAAACAAAAAGAAGCAGGGTACATAATATAGCATATATTGCACACATTCATTGTGAAGAAAACCCTGTGACATATACACTTCACTTTAGATAGAATGGAGTTCCCATCTATTTTGTTGATCCCTTCCAGAATGAAGAGCACAAAAATTATTAATCAGATACTATAATTAACTTTATAACTGAACTGGAGAGACATGCACATTGACAGTACTTTTGAAGTACTGCAGATGAACAACACAAACAGAAGGAAAACAAGACTGGCATGTTCTTAAATTGTGTTTTAAAATAAATACTGTGATGAACATTCTAAATAGCACTTGGTGGATTTTTCTCTCGAAATGTGCACCAGTACATGTACCAGAAAAATCAAACCCAGCAAGACAATTAACAAGTCTCTCTCAAAACAGTTGTCAAACACAAAGGTGACTGTGCCAATTATCTGATGAGCAGATGGAGCTAACCTCCCAACCACTGTTCCATATGGGTCATAAACACTCACTCCTGTTTATTAAGAGAACCAAATAACCACAAGTGCTTGGGATAATATTTGATTTAAACTATGTTGAGTAAGAAAAATACGCAAAAAATGCCGATGCTCATGTGGCATTTTTCAGCATCCATACATGTTAATAAGAAAAACATAACTCTAATTCCAAGAGACAATGTTTTACTATTCTTAATTAATCCCAGGGCTAAACTCACAGAAGGTGAAAGCATGGCATTTGTCTCCCACAGAAAAAGACTCAGTTGGAACTTGCCTCTCTGACATAACTTGTTCAAACCATCTTAAAGACTATTCACCCTGCTCATTAATATAGGAACAGCAATCATTCCCACATTCTAATTAACTATGGAAGCTATGGAATTTCACATGATCCTTCAACTTCCTGACTTATGTATGGCAAAAACAGAAAACAAAGAGTAGTGGCATTTTAAAGACTAACCTATGTACTTCAGTACATGGTTCACAATCTACTTCCTCAGATACATGAAATAGGCTACAGATTTAAATAGATAGAGTACATGGAGGAGGGGTGTGGCCCAAATGAGATGGGAAAAAGAAGGTGACAATTACACCAGCAATGAGCTGGATTCAAAACTGATCTATATAGCTGCAGCAGAAGTTACCTGCTGTTATACAATATAGTGAGGTTTGAAGTCAGTGGGGTTTGTTTGAGAAAAGTAAAGGTAAAAAATAAAAATAAGTTACAGTTACAATGCAAAACCAGAGCAGAGAGTGCTGTCCTCTGAAGATGCCGGCCACAGAGACTGGCGAAACGTTAGAAAGAACAACCTTCAGAACACGGCCAAAGAGCCCGAAAAACCCACAACAACCAATGCAAAATGAGTTATGTTATTCCTAGTTACACTACAATTAGGAGAGGAATCAGAAGTAACTCATTACCTCCAAGCTCTGCTGTCAGCAGCCCTCCAAGTTTTTAGATGGGGGATTTTCCCTATGCAGAGATGCTGGGGTTTTGTACTCAAAACATGCTCTCCTACTGAGCTACAGCACTTTCTCTGGGAAGGTATACCTACAATAAATATGCTTCCAGTTCATTCACCCAGTTTGCAAATAGAAGTCTTACCTCTGCTGATCTTGCCTGTATTCTTCCAGTTTTATATTCAGCCTCAAGTTTGCTTTTGCAAAAAGCTGCCGTTGTCTTCTGGAGAACCAAAGCAGTCTTGTGTTCATTCAGGGTCAGACAGTTCTGTAGAAAACAAACACTATTCAGAATTGTGGTACCTAGAGAGGAGATAATTTGGCATTCTTCAAGCTGAAACTATCCAGAGGCCATGTCTTCTCTGTTTAAACAGTTTACAGCTGAGAAGATCTATTTTACTGGTAGAACTTAATATGTGGAGGTCTTATAGTTAAACTGTGGTGTTTTGCAACCATTTTCTCTATTGTCATATTTAAGGCCTATGGGTAATCATGTAAGCCAACTTTTCCAGTTCTTAGAGACTGCTGTTCCTTATCATGAAGCAGTAAAACAACCACCTCCATATCTTCACAGATGGCATAAAAACCCGACTCTTTTCTCTAATGTGATCTTCAGCCATGCCCTTGTATTCTTTTTTTCCTTCCCATGCTTGCAGCACTCATGCCAGAAGTGCCTAGCAGCTGTTCAGTACACATAATGTAGGTCCACGTAACTGTGCCCCCCCCCCGTGCCAAAGCCACTGCTTAGAACTGCTGGATACCTCAGTGATTTAGGTCTCTGGCTGAGGAGCCCAAGATTGGGAGTTTGATTCTCCAAATGTGCCTCACCTGGACCTGATGATCCATAGGGTCCCTTCCAGCAATGCAGTTCTAAGATGATCTAAAATGATGGCTTCAAACACACAGAGACACTAACTATCATCTATAACAGCATTAATAGTGTGCAGTTTAAGAACTCTGTCTGGAAAATCTGTGTCCCAACTCAGATAGAGAGCCCTCACAGATAGCAGTACTCTCCCTCTTCAATATCATCACTCTCCATGTGTAGCAGAAAACAAAACCAGGGACAGTAAATGGTGGAGCTAAAGCATTCCCCTTTATATGTGAGTATTCCATACACTTTCTAATACCTGATCAGGGCTTAAGTTTCCTTTTCATAAGAAAGTTCAACTACTGGCACTTCTGAATCCTAACACTGAAGGAGTCAGGTACCTGGGAAGTTCCAGACATTTTGGAAATGCTTCCTTTTGCTTTATGAATCTTTAGCAAAATACCTCTCTTGTTCACAAAGACACTATTCATGTTCCCTCATACATGAGGGAGGATGGTGGCTATGACCCTCCAGATGCTGTTAAATTCCCAGCAGCCTTTGCCTACCGTTCTTCTTCTTCTCCCTATTGTTTTTATAGGCGTAAGTAACTGATTGTTCCCATCGCTGAATGAAATGTTACATAAAAGTATGAGTGAGATGGAAGTAATTTATAAAGTCTGTTCTTGTTCTGTTGAAAAATGAATCACTTGGTAGTCGCTTAACAAATATCAGGCGGAGGCTCCTTCTCTCTCTGCAGCAATACTCTGCATTTCACAGTGCTTGGACATTACTAGACTGGTATAATGATGATACTAACATAACAATCATAGTCATATTCTGTATTTCATTGGTTGCGGACAGCCCTAAGAATAGAACACTGTTTCCTCTGTTAACTGAAAAGGCCCTAGAAGTCCATTCCAGATTAGAAACATTAGATTAGGGACAAGGAATATGGGGGGGAGAGAGAGATTCTATTTTGGCTTGAGTCCTAGGACTACAATCTAGCAGCAGGATACTGCAAAGGCCAAAGTAGAGGGAGCAATGCAAAGCGGACAGGGTCAGATTTAATTCCTGTTAGTATGGATATTTTCCCCATCAACTATAAAAAGAACAGTTCAATTCCATGTATTTCTACTCAGGAATAATCCCAAATGCAAAAGCTTCCCTATTTGAAAGCTACAACTCAGTTCTTCAACTTCAGTAAGATATCGTTTGCAGGTGGGAACTGTTCTCCCCCCTGCAAACCATTTCTTAATTCTATGCAAGATATTTAAACTTTAAATACCCCTTATCGCTTACCAATGACAGAAGGTAACAAGAGAATATTGCTGTTAGATGCAGGTTCTCCATCACCACATTAAAAGAAATCCAGCCTTACAGTCAACTACTTGAGCTTTTGACTAGGGGGAATAACTATTATTTCCAACTTGTCAGAAACACAACTCAAATCATTCTATGACATGTATCCGAGTGGACAATTTTTTTAAATACTGCTGAAGCAGATCACTTACATTAACAGCATTGCTGGTAGTTAATAAGGTTCAACTAACTTAACTTACTTAACATGCATCATATGATGACTAACATGAGGTTGTAACACACAAATCCAGTGAACAAAAGCTTTCGTATTATATAGCAAAACATGATACTTCTGCAGTAAAGACAGCAACCAAATGATGAACAACAAAGAGCTGAATGTGTTCTCAAAGGCTTTCACAGCTGGGATCCAATGGTTGTTGTGGGTTTTTCGGGCTATTTGGCCGTGTTCTGCAGGTTTTTCTTCCCAACATCCTCTGTGGCTGGCATCTTCAGAGGACAGGAGGTAGAATTCTGTCTGTGTTCTAGTGTAGTGTGTGGGATTGTTGAGTATTTGTAGCTGTGGGATCTGGGTTTTTGTTCTTTTCAGGAGATTGGGTGTTTCCTGTGATCAGGAATGAGTGTTATGAGTGTTTTGTTGTGATGGGGGAAATGATCTGTCATTGTGATTGATGGGTGTTGTTGGGTAGTCCTTTCTGTGCAGTGATCACCAGTGCTTGTGGCTGGGTAGAGTTCATTGAACTTTTTTGCAAGTTGTATTTTTCAGTGCTAGGAGCTAGGCTTTGTCAACAACCAGCTAAGTTCAATAATTGTGCCAATATTTTAAAAAATCATGTGCTGTCAAGACAATTGTGACATATGGCGACTCTCGTCAGGATTTTCCAGGTACAGGATACAGTGGTGCCTCGCTTAGCGATTGCCTCGTTTAACGATGTATTCGCTTAGCGATGAGGTTTTTGGAGCGATTTTGCACTCCGTTTAACTATGTTTCCTATGGGGAAAATTCGCATAGCGATGTTCGGGACCTTGCCTCGCTTAGTGATGACAGTTTTAGGTCCCCAGTTTCACTTAGCAATGTTCCATTTTCGCTATTTTTAAAGTGTCTTAAAAGGTTCAAAAATGGTTGTAAATGCTTGGGATTGTTAGTCCACCTTCTAAAACATGTGCAAGCTTAATTTGGCTTTGTTCTGACTCTTCGTTAATTTTTGGTGAATTTCCCCCCCCATTGAAATGCATTGAGCCCGATTTTGACAGCTGTCAAAATCGGGCTCAATGCATTTCAATGGGGGGGGAAATTCACCAAAAATTAACGAAGAGTCAGAAACTGTTTTAAATGCTTGGATTCGTTAGCGCACCTTGTAAAACGTGTGCAAACTTAATGTGGCTTTGTTCTGATTCTTTGTTAATTTTTGGTGAATTTTCCCCCCCATTGGAAAGCATTGAACCCGATTTTGACAGACACACTTAAAATTGCAAAAACGGACATCGCAAAGCCATTGGAATGCATTGAACAGGCTTCAATGCATTCCAATGGGGGATACATTGTTTCGCTTAGCGATGTTTCCTATGGCCTTTTTCGCTTAAGGATGGTAATCCGTTCCCATTGGAACGGATTAACCGGTTTTCAATGCATCTCTATGGGAAAACGTGTTTCGCTTAGCGATGTTTTCCCATAGCGATGTTTTTTTGGGAACCAATTAACATTGTTAAGTGAGGCACCACTGTATACAGAAGTGGTTTACCATTCCCTTCTTCTGGGGAGCCCTGGGAATATGCAGCTTGTCCAAGGTCACACAAGTTGGTTCTGCTCACAGGATGCAGTGAGGAATCAAACTCCCAACTTTTGACTCCATAGACAGATTCCTAAACCGCTGAGTTATCCAGCCAGCAGTACTGTGTCAGCCAGTACTTAAATCTATGTCTGTCTAATGAAGAAGTGAAAACTAGCTACCAATTATAATTTCATATTATGCAATAGTATCAATAGTAAGTATTTAAAAATGGAAAAAATAAATTACCTTTATGAGTTGCATAAATTCTGCAACTAGTTTTGCTTTCTCTGTGTTAATTTTTTTAATTTTAGCACTTGCTAGCTCAACCTCTTCTTCCAGGTTGATGGCATCTTGCTCCATCTGTTTTATACTGTGTAAGAAAGATTTATGGCTAATGTTCTGTGAATTGTTATGGAATTTCCAGTTCAACATGAGAAACAAGATCAATGGACATTTCTGGCAACTAGAAAACAGGGTGGCTACCGCCCAAAGCAAGGTTAGAATAAGTTGTTGAAGATTCCTAGGAACTTAGAAAATCTTTATAGAAAAAATTATTCTGATTTCCAACAGAGTCTTTAGAAAAGATGTATTGTCATCTTACTAGCAACTTGGACCAATTTGCTTTGTTTTGCTTCTTGTCTGATATGCTAGCATGGACTAAGATGGCTACCACTTAGAAAACTAGAATAAAGGCAAGTTACCTCTCTAGACAACACAGTAACATTCAACATCATTAATTCACTTTTTCAAACTGAATTGAATTATTTTTAAACTGTATTTTGTTGCGGAAACTACAATCCTTTTATTATCACCATATTTAATCACTTTTACTGGTCGTTGACCGTAATAAAGTACTACTACTACTACATATTTAATCACTGAGGCAGAACAAGCATATTCTGGGCCATTAAGTGGGGACTGACTTACAACAACCCTAACAGGGCTTTCAAGATAAGTGAGGTGTTTAAGGAGTGGTTTCATCAGTTCTACCCCTCAGAAACATTCCATGGCTAAGCGGGGATTTGAACCAAAATCGCCCAAATTCTGGTTCACTCTACCCATTACACTACACTAGGCATCAGGTGGTGGTGAACACTCTAAAATCCCACTGTCTTGAATACAAAGATTTGCTGTAAAATTTACAAACATTCTAAACAATCAGCATATAGTATTTTAAAAAACATATACCTGTCATATTTCATGCTAATTTTTGATTCCAACTGTTTCCTTTTGTTTTTTCTTTCTAGAAGCTCCTTTTTCTGTTGCCTGAGTTCATTGTCTTGGCGTTCCAAATATCTCTGCCGCTCAGATAGTGCAGCCTTACGAGTATCCAATGATTGCAACTGCCTGTTAATGTCCTATAATAAATAGCACAGAAAAAATCCCATTTTATGTTATCAGCACAATTTTACCAAGGCAGTGACATTTTCTGGTTGAAAACATGCCATTTCATTCTATACACTTGATATAGCTGTTAATTTTTCATTCGACATCAGCCTTCTTTGCCTTAAACAAGTAGCTGTATGAACAATGATTTCTCTAATAATCTTTAAATAATTTTGATCTATCATAAATCCTTTTGGGAACTATGGTCCACAGAAAGGTGGTAAAACAAACACTGTAAGCAGATAAAAGCAGTGCAGTCGTCTGTAGCCAGCTGCAATGAATTCAACAAGCCTTACTGTTAAATAACTGTCTATGCCTATAAGGGTTATAGCTTTCGTCTGTTAAGTCACTTACCTGCTGACTTACTCTCTAGTATTAATATCTTGCTAGGACACACGTCATGTCAGAAACTTTGACACACTACCTGTTGAAAATCTCTTACCTATTTCCCTACTATCAAGTAAGCCAAATATTCTTCAAATATTAGAGATTTACAGAAAACAAACAGATAACGCCAACTACTTGCTGGACTTTTGCCTGTGGAAGAGTAGGATCCAGTGTTGGAGGACAGGCACAACCTTTTCTACTTGCTCTGAGCAATGGAAGACCCTCCAGAATGTCTTTTTGGTGCCAGAGAGGACATCATAGAAGAGGAACAAGGGACAAAGATCTGGAAGACGGCTTTAATCACTATCTTTAGAGACAACGTGACACATTTGTGTCTTTCTCTACCACAAACAGCATGGTGGTGGTATCTCTTCCATGGAACACTCTGCTTAGAGAGACATGTACAAATAGCTGCCTGATCTCATTTAGGAACTTGGTCAAAATTCTTTCTAACAAAGAGGGCCATCAGTCAAGGAATGCAGTTACTCTGGTTTATTTTCACAGTTTTCCAACTACTTGCCAATATTGTATGTGAAGCTTATACTGTGATTGAGATGCTCTAAAAGCCTCTTACTCACTGACTGGCAGAATGGAAATATTTGAAATAAATACATGCACAATGAGTTGGTCTTCAGCAAGCTGTCAGGAGCAGTGACTCACCTAACTATAAATCATCCTACAGCACATGAGCAATTTACCAGAAATTTTTACCCAGGAAAATACAAGTAGCTATATAAAGAATTTGCCTCTTAAAACAGTTTTAAAAAGAAAGCCCACTGCAAATTACTATAGTGTTAACAAAAGTGATTAGTATTAAGCGTGAATATCATCTAAAAGTCAGGTGTCAATATTCTTGAAAAACTGCATAACATGGATATAAAATGGCAATCAAATTGCTGAACCCAAAGACATTACAGGGTTAATACCTTTCAACATTTCAAATATGGGCTGTTCTCCTGCACACACCACCATAAATCAACTTACGTTCTTTTGATTTTCCAACTGTCTTCTTTCATCTGCATCCACCACGACAGTCAGAAATTGTGCTGGTCTCAGTGATGTGTTAGTGGAGACAATTTCATTTGTATAAGCAGATATTTTTACAGCATATCTTTCTTCTGCAGTGTAGATTTGTCTAAGCTTGGTTTCTGTTATGACCTGAACATGAAAGAAAGCAAATACTAAAGTTATAAACAGTGATTCTGAAAAGCAGAACACTGTCGATAAATAATAAATTTCAGCAGTTAGACAAGAGACATCAAAACATAAAGGATATATATGGATGATTCTGAGTAGCAACATAAAAATGCAGAAACACAGATTACACACACACAAACACACACACAAAACCCACAAAAATAAGTAGAGCTGTTCTGCCTCATCCTTTTAAAAAACCTCTTTCCCCACTTTTGTCTGAGAATGAGAGAAGACTCATCTCTCCATTCAAATCCTTTCTAAAGGATGGTAACCAAGTCAATTTTCTAACACCTTTATGAGCTTAAGGAAACTCAGCTAGTCTCCTGAACTTAACGTTTTATATTCTTCATGTTTTGCACTAAGCCAGTTTGAAAGCTCTATGAGTATGTTACACATTTAAATACAAAAACAGTATTAATACGCTTTGAATATCAAGTTAACAGGTAATAATTCCTATACCATCAATGGCATCTCTTGCTACTGTCACCCTCTTCCCATGTCCAACAACGTAGCTCACCCTTTCAATCATATTTCTGGTCTTCTCTGTTCCCACTGGGACCTCGTGAATCCGATAATGAGAGCACAGGTAACTCATCACAGGAAGAGGAGCATCAAATAACTCTCGCAGGTAAGTGAAAAATCCATACCGGCTGAAGAAAGAAAGAGGCAGTTAGATTTGTATCTCCCCATTATGAAGAGAAATAATCGATTTTCAAAGGAAAGATGCTCAGAAGTAACACACACACAAATACAGAAATGAGGTAACATATTTTAATTAAGCTCAAGAGTTAACGCTGTGCAATACCAAAAAGTAACATCTGCAAATGTATGAAAGCCAGAATCATGTAAATACTCGGTTAGCCAGACAATTTTTATTCTGATTAAGTCAGAAACAAGTTTAAGGAGACGATATTAGGTACCATTAGATGTTCATTCTTAATTTCAAAACAGGAAAGGAACAAGAATGGGATTTCCAGAACACTGGCAGGCAGGTAGAAAAGGAAACGGATACAATGTTGCTGATAACCACAAATCAACAGATTAAAAACCCAGAGACAAGATTCTAAAATACTGTAGCTGGGGCCCTGTTTTTTTGTGAATGAGCCAATATACTGGTACACACTGTCTGATTGCTCCCTGTTTGACTCCAGCAGGGAATACTGGCTAAGAAAAATGGGGGACCATATTTGATGCCCAAATGAGCAAGAAGTGGCCTTCTATCTAACAGTGGTCAGGAGACACAAACTCTTGACTCATCTCTCTCCCTCTGCAACAAAACAGGGCCATGAACTATAGTCAGTTCTTGGGTCATGACTCTTTAGGGGGTGGGAGACAAGCCACATTTCCCAGTTACCATGCTGGTAACTTACATCTTTTGATATAATGCGAGAGTTTAAGTACTTTAATACTTACTGCAGCTCCTCAATTGGTTTTGAAGGTTTGGTTTCAGCACATGATTCACTGGGTGCACATACAGCATTCACTTTTAGTTTCTGATTATCACGCATCTAAACAAAATTGCATCAATAAGGGAACATGGCTTAGTTATCTTACAATGACAACCTTGTGATCTGAATATTATAGTACATGGTAGCTGTGTTCTTTGCACAAAAATGGTGGATAAGGATGGTCTGAAATACTTTCAGAGCTCTCCTGGGCTAGGTGGGAACAGTAACAAAAGATTGAGTCACAAAGCACTTTCAAACTAGCACTGTCTCTCCATCAATGACGGCCTATTTACATGTATTAAGTATAGAGTCAAGATGTACCTCACTTAGCCATTTTGGTTTTATCTACAGCCTTTCAAGTGCACGTGCGCGATCTTTAGATGTCCAGGGACCATATCCATTCATCCTGGGACCATCAGGAACTGCACATACTCCTGTGACCCCCCCATCTCTTTTTTTTAAAAAAAATGTGGTAATTCTACTAAAAAATCCTTTGTGCCCTCTAGTGGCCAATTTTTGTAACTACAGTGGTGCCCCACATAGCGACGATAATCCGTGTAGCCAAAATCATCACTATGCGTATTCGTCGCTATGCGAAAAAAAAAAGCCCATAGGAATGCATTAAAACCCGTTTAATGCGTTCCTATGGGCAAAATACTCACCTTTAAGCGAAAATCCTCCATACAGCCGCCATTTTCGCTGCCCGGTAAGCGAGGAATGGGCGCGAAAACACAGCGGGCGGCCATTTTTTTAACCGGCAACCCTTTTGGAACCGCCGATCAGCTGTTCTAAAATCATCACTATGTGAACATCGGGAAGGGAAACAGCGTACCGATCGTCGCAAAGTGATTTTTTACCATTTAAATCATTGCAAAAACTTAATCGCTATGCAGATTCGTCATTAAACGGGGCACCCGTTAAGCGAGGCACCACTGTATTAAAAATCCTTTGGAGGGAGTTTCCTCCACCCATAACAAGAATGCTCTCACTCCCCACAGAGCGTACAAGGGAAATTTGAGGCAAATCAGTTTTTAAAATGGGACTTCTTCTCAGATATGGGTAAATGAGACAGCAGATTTAGCAGAAAAATATATTTAGTTTTACAACAAAACCCCAGTATCCACGGGACCAGTATCCATGGATTCATTTATTCACCATCACCTGCATTCAATAAAATCAGATCACAAGAAGCTGTTTAAATTCTGCAGATCCATTCCTCGGATCCAGGTCAGATCTTCAGAATGCCTGGAGTAAAGTTTCAGAGAAGCTACAGAAGAATTGCCAATTTGGTAGAAGGGGGAAGGTTTCTGATTTTAAAAAGTTCCTTTTTCCATACAAGTGAAAAATTAATGAATTAAAGTTTAAAAACAAAGTTTTAAAAACATAGTGTTCATAATGTTTCCTTGGATCCAGGCAAGTTTTTCAGAATGCCTGGAACAAAATTTCACAGAGAAGCTAGTGGAGAATTCTTGCTAGCTTGATAGAGGGGGAGGGGGGGAGGTTTCTTGCAGGGAAAATGTTCCTATTTCCATACAAGTAAGGAATTAATACATTAAAGTTTAAAATCTAAGTGTTTGCTCCCTGAAACTGGATCACCAAAAACAGTTTAAGCTCCAGCAGATCCATTCCTGGGATCCTGGCCTAATCTTCAGAATACCTGAAGCACAGTTTCACAGAGGAGCTACAGAAGAATTGCTAGCTTGGTAGAAGAGGGAAGGTTTCTGATTTTAAAAAGTTTCTATTTCTATACAAGTAAGAAATTAATAAATTAAAGTTTAAAAGCATATTTACTAGATGTTTGCTACGTGTTTACTACTATCCACACTTTTTAAGCATCCACAAGGTGGCTTGGAAGCAATCCCTTGTGGATATGGGGTGGGGGGAATCTACTGTACTCCTCTTTAACAAGGCAATTCCTAAACGGTATGATATCTGAGTCACTTCTTGTTGGTGCTGCAAAAACATTATCCAATGAAACACATTTGACAAGAAAAATTGGCAACACTCTCCTTCATGGATTGCCACCTTGTCGTGGCGAAGGGGCTTGAGTAATTCAGAGAAACTGTGGGCTATGCCGTGCAGGGACATCCAAGACAGACAGGTCATAGTGGAGAGTTCTGACTAAACACAATCCACCTGGAGCAGGAACTGGCAAGCCACTCCAGTATCTTTGCCAAGAAAACCCCATGATCAGAAACAAATGGCTAAAAGGTATGACGCTGGAAGATGGGCCCCTCAGGTCGGAAGGTGTCCGACATGCTACTGAGGAAGAGCGGAGGAAAAGTACAAGTAGCTCCAGAGCTAATGAAGTGGTTGAGCAAAAGCTGAAAGGACGCTCAGCTGTGGACGCGCATGGAAGTGAAAGGAAAGTCCGATGCTGCAAAGAAAAATACTGCATAGGAACCTGGAATGTAAGATCTATGAACCTTGGTAAGCTGGATGTGGTCAAACAGGAGATGGCAAGAATAAACATTGACATCCTGGGCATCAATGATCTAAAATGGACAGGAATGGGCGAATTCAATTCAGATGATTACCATATCTACTATTGTGGGCAAGAAGCCCGTAGAAGGAATGGAGTGGCCCTCATAGTCAACAAAAGAGTGGGAAAAGCTGTAATGGGATATAATCTCAAAAATGATAGAATGATGTCAATACGAATCCAAGGCAGACCTTTCAACATCACAATAATCCAAGTTTATGCACCAACCACCA